ATTCCCTCTACGTGTTTGGCGAAGACCTTCTCCGGCAAACTCTTCGTAAAAGGATCAGCTAGGTTGTCTTCTGACGCAATCTTGGTGATCTCAACTTCTCCTCTTGCCAATTCTCATTCATCAAGAAATAACAAGTGTAATATCCACTAAAGCAAAGCTTAAGTATATAACACCAACAGACGGGTCCTCGTCAGCCAAGGGATCTGGTCTGGGAGTAACCCTAGTATCCCCCGAAGGCGAACAACTCGACTTCGCCATCAGAATGGGGTTTAAGGCCTCGAACAATGAAACAGAGTACGAGGCTCTAATTAAGGGGATCCAACTGGCAGTCGGGGTTGGAGCGATGGAAATCATGGCACATTCTGACTCACAGCTAGTTGTGGGGCAAGTATTGGGAAATTGCGAAATTAAAGAGGATCGGATGATAAAATATGTCGAAGAAATTCAGAGCCTGGTGCAAGGCTTAGAAAGTTTTGAGCTGACGCAAGTGCCTCGAGAAGAGAACAAGCGAGCCGACTGGCTCGCAAGAATTGCAAGTTCGAATGAAGGAAAAATGGGGAATCGTATTACCACATTGCACTTAGAAGGAAGTGTCCTAAGTGAGACAATGGAGGTCGATGAAAAGCAAGATTGACGAAGAACAATTCACGAGCTATTACAAAGTCGAGTGCCAGAGGGAGATAAGCAGGAGGCGGAGAAAGCTGCCCGATATTTGAGTAAGTATTTTGAGATCGAAGGAGTCTTGTATAAGAAGTCAATGGTCGGACCCCACCTGCGATGCGTTTCCGAAGAGGAAGGGGATTATGTCTTGAAGGAGATCCATGAAGGGTGTTGCGGAGCGCATATAGGATCGCGAGCCCTAGCTGGCAAAGCCCTCCGAGCAGGCTATTATTGGCCCAAGATCCGAAAAGCAGCCGAACGATTAGTACAAGGATGCGACAGATGCCAGCGCCATGGTCAAATCCCTCACGTTCCAGCCGAAGCAATGACGACAATCAACTGCCCGATCCTTTTTGCTCAATGGGGAATCGACTTGGTAGGCCCATTGCCAATTGGAACAGGGCAACGAAAATTCATGGTGGTTGTCGTAGACTACTTTAGCAAATGGGTAGAAGCAGAGCCTCTGGCAAAAATCACTGAAGACAAAATGATACAATTCCTGTTCAAAAATATCTGCTGTCGATTCGGGATCCCAAAGATCTTGATTTCGGATAATGGAACGCAATTTCAGGGAAAACGGATCCAGGCGTGGTGTATCGACATGGGGATCAAGCAGCGATTCGCCTCAGTTGCGCACCCACAGGCGAATGGCCAAGTCGAAGTGACAAACAGAACCATCCTGCATGGGCTAAAGAAAAGATTAGAAAAAGCATCTGGTGTCTGGGTCGACGAGCTGACAACGGTCCTATGGGCCTATAGGACGACCCCAAAAAGTTCAACAGGGCAATCACCATTCCACATGGTTTACGGAATGGACGCTCTATTGCCCATCGAAGTCGGATTGGAATCTCACAGGTCGACATTCTATAAAGAAAAGACCAATGAAGAGTTAGCAAAAGAAGCCCTCGACATGATAGAAGAAGTGCGAGAGGAAGCCTGGCTGAGATCCGTAGAGTACAAGCAGAAGATGCGTGCAGCCTTTGATAGGAAAGTCCGCACCAGACGATTTCAAGTGGGAGATCTCGTCCTCAAGCGAGCAGATGCTCTTAAGCATGTCGGGAAGCTTGAAGCTAATTGGAAAGGACCTTACACCATCACCAAAGTGCTCGAAAGAGGTGCATACGAACCCGA